CTCAAAATCCTGCAAAAAATCACCGTTGGGAACTTGGTTTCTGCACGGTGAAGCTAATGTCAAAAACTTCCCGTTCGAATCATTCTGTTGGTTTCAATCCCATCCCTTTCTGCTGTAACATATGAATACTCAAAAATACAGCTTGATGTCGCGCTAAGATTGGATGGTGAATATGAACAGATATGAAAAGCTGTTCCAGAATCTGCGGTGGGGCCCTAAGTTTTGACCGCCTCATTCAAGACATGGGTCGGGATACGCTTCCTGGAACGCAGGGCGAGGGCGGCCAAGCGCGACCATGATCAGATCGATCATGTGGTACTGTGGTAAAACCAAATGATAAACCATAGAGAACCATAGCAAAATTGCCGCATGTTTGACACTTTTGGTGGGTATTCAAGATTTGTTTATCAAATTCTTTTTCAGAAAATAGCGGTGTTGTTGAGGCTTAAGCACAGTGCTGTGCAAACATACCTATCTTTGTGAGATATGATATCGTGAGTGAGATGCTCCTTGATTCGTGCAGCTGCCTTACAAGTTCCTAATCCTCAAGCGTTTGCTCAAACGAGTTGCTTCTCCGAACATGTGTCCCTTCCTTGGCAAAAAAAAGGTTTGATGTCATAGCACATTTCAACTCAACCATATGACATCTTGTTCAGCTGATGCCATAAAGCATCAAAAATCGGCATATCAGGAACTTGTATATTACCCCCGCGTCATTTCTCCCAAGCCCGGCAGCCTCAAAAAGACTCAACATCGCATACAAGTCAACCAGGATCAACCCGACGGTCAACCCCATGGCATTAAACAAATGATCAGAGATCTACCCTCTGGTTATGTCAACAGTTTGCTATTGAAAATGGCCATTTATAGTGAGATTTCCCATGAAAAATGGTGATGTTCCATAGTTTTTTGTTAACGTTTAGCAGAGGGTATATCCAACTCCTCATATTTCTTGATTTAAAAAAAATGACAGCGGAGAGATGTTTACAATAGTGCAGAAATGCACAGAATTATACATATATATATATTATTATATATTATATTACATACGGAAATTGCATGTGAATATGGAAAATGCTCACAATCTTCCCTCAAATTAGATAGTCTTTTTAAAATTCCCATGTTCCACAAATCGTGGTGTCCAATTCATGGAGGTACCCCAAATCGTCTTTCCGTCTTTCCCCATGAAATCATTGGGGTGTACCCGCCTATGAGCTGCTAGGGTCTTGTCAATGGCATCAATCACCTGAGTCGGGGTAGAGGTCTCAAGGGTAGCTAGAGATAAATCAAAGAATGCGGTTACAGGATTACATGGTAGAACCACCAAATATAGAGATTTATACCAATATTTTTATACCAATGTTTTATACCAATGTTTCATACCAATGTTTTTTTACCAATGTTCTATACCGTTCTTTCCTTCGTTCATTATAAAATCATGATTGAATGGGGTATAACCAGCAAATTCGGAGATTTCTTGATCTGAGTCATCGGTCTTTGGACATAGTAGGGATACAGTGTGAACTACACCAAACATCATCAGGATATCAATTATTATAACGGTGCTAATACAACTTAGTTGAACAACGAGCCGAAACGACAACTGCGCGTCCCTTGCGCGGAGATTTTGGATTGATAATGAATACGCTATTGTTTGTCATGATTATATACGTCCCAAATCTCCCATGAGATCCAAAAACACAATCACGACTTTCCCATCAAATACATTCCAAATATCACCCTATAAAACTCACTATTTACCCTGCCATCCCCACTGGCCATATCCCCAATATCGGAGACCCAGCCACCTTAGAGATGCGCTGTCCCGTCTTTGCGGAGCACGCCACCTGAAGTTTTTTAGACGATTTGGAAGTGTTCACTTTTTTTAAAAAAAGGAAATTTTTAAGATTGGTTTGAAGATGATTTTGAAAAATGGTGGGATTTTAAAGATGTGGTTGGCCCTAAGAAATGCTTGTGTCCGCTTTTTTCAATAGATTTTGAAGATGAATTGACCCTAAAAGCCATTGGAGTCAACTTTAATGCAAGAGAATGTTAGAATTTTGCAAATGGAAACTGAATATGGCTTTGTCATGTTTTGTCGAAGACGGAGGATTGACCCATAATAAATGTCCAGTACAGTAAAACATGGTGAAAATTATTTTTTAAAAAATATTTTGTTTTTTAAAAAAAGTATGTTCAAAGAATATTGTTTGTTTTTTTGATATGTGTGGTAATTCCCCAAAATGTGGATGTAGGAAAAAGAATGAAGCCTGGCCCCATCTTTTTGCCACCACTGAGGTGCCACACCACTTCTGCCCATTGTCCCACGCCACCCAAGTTGCTTCGAATGGCCTGCTGATGCTGCCGGGCTGGAAGCCAGTTGCGGATGTTTTTCAAAGTTCTTCCATTGAATCATTAGATATAGTATCACTAATGTGATTGTACTATATGGTCAGAAACTATTTTGGAAATCTAACCATATAATTTACCATCTGGTTATTTAACATAGCATAGGTAAACCATCTATAAATAGGCCATTTCCCATGGTTATGTTCAATAACCAGAGGGTATACTATATGGTCATGTCCAAATGAACACTGCCATCTTTCACCATCCTGCAGCATCCTGAAGAAAAAATCCAGCCTGAATGAAGCGTTCCTGTGACGTCGCATCCTAAGCTTGACGCCGACAGCGCAGCTACCCACAAGTGCTGCCCACAAAAAGATATATGTCGAGTCTAGTCATTGCAATGTTGAAGACGCCATAAAATGTTCTTAGTTTCGAGATTCCGAAATGGGTTTGTCTCAATAAATAGGCTACCTCCTTCCCTTCCCTGGTGAAACATCCATTTCCCCAGAATGACCCTTTGGAGGTAAACATCATTTTGAACAAAACCATGTTAATATTTAAGCATTCCGAATGCAACGCGGGGTCAATCATTCTGAGCCATACAGTACCAATTGTGTTGGTCAATCATCCAACCCAAGGATCGAAAGAAACATGCACATGTGTATGTATGTGTATATATATATATATATATATATTGTATCCATATATATATATACATATCATGTTACATAGTATATTGAAGCATCACCAAGAAACTGGCAGCCCGCCAGCAATCCCCAACAGCACGTTTTCAATTGGATGGCCTCAATTTTCTATATTCAAATCATGTTCGAAGGTGCAAGGGGGTTCTAATGTTGATTTCTAAACAGATCTACCATTGGTGATATATCTAGTGATATATCTAGTGTTGGTTTATGGGTTCTAGTTTGATATATCTACCATAAACCCAACAGTGAGTGGAGTTATAAACCAACTTAAATCTACTCAAACCAAGCGTCTTTGTTGGGAACAGCATCCCATTTCGTCAAGACGATCACGGCTGCAGTCCCTCGTTCTTCGATGGCACGCGCGATGTAGCGCATCCTAAGTCAAATCTCATCGTTCGTGTGCCATGGTCAAAACCATCATTTTCCCGTAAAAGTGCATGGTCATCCCAAGTAGTAGGGGATGATTTATCCATTGTAAGGAAACTATTGTGATGGTATATGGTGGGATGGCCATACCCCATATGCTATGCTGGCACGTTTAATAACTACTGAGTAACTACTGTCATGATGACTACAACCAACATCATGATCATCCAGTGACAGATCTAAAGGTATATTGTAGATTCATGTTGTGTTTCTTGCGATGTTCATACTAGAACATGTAGGTATGAGTTTCACTCAGGATAGTTCCATCATCACGATCCTTGTCAAAAAATTGTTTCATCATTTTCCTCCTCCTCATCCTCCTCCTGACCACCACAGGTATTTCTTGGAAAAACAAAAACAGATACCCTGTGGGAATTTCACATCATTATGGGAAAAATGGCCATTCATTCTAGATACATGATTCAATGATGTACTGTAATGTAAATCTGATATTTTCTTGTGAATCCGTATCAAAGATGGTGATTTTCCTTTTCGCAACCTCTGGGAATTCTGCCCTTGGTGGGGCCAAGAAGCTGAATGTCCGGGCACCAAAAGGCGTTGCCCAAGTTCCGGTTTCCCGTCATGATCTCGCTGGCATCCAGCCTGGGAAACCCCACAGGGAACCACTGAGATACGATTTGAAGCCAAAATTGGAAGGATGGCTATGTGGTTCTGTATATCAGTGGTTCAATCTATCTGAGATAGAGATACGATTTGAAGCTGATCATTCTGTCTATCGATCTGTCTATCTACAGTACAGTATCTATCTGTCTATGTATCTGTCTGTCTGTCTATCTACCCTATCTTCTGTCTATGTATCTGTCTGTCTATCTATCTACCTACCTACCTATCTATCTATCTATCTATCTAATCTGATCTAGTCTAAAGGAAACTAATCCAATCTAATCTTATCTAATCTAATCTTATCTAATCTTATCTATCCATCCATCCATCCATCCATCTATCTATTCTATCTAATTTATCTACCTACCTACCAACCTACCTATCCATCCATCCATCCATCCATCCATCCATCTATCTATCTAATCTGTCTATATGTTATATATATATATATAGTGTGTGTGTGCCGACCCCTGAATCAAAGGGAATGTTATGTTGATTAGTTCAGTTCAGACTACATGTTCTAGATAGCTGGCACGAAGAAACCCACTGCACCGTGAGGCATCTTGCGAAATCGCGGAGAGTGGTTCGACCGTAGATTTACGAACTTGCAAGTGTATCGAAAAACATCATAACAGCTGAGCATGTTCAACCCAGTTCGCAGCAGTCTTTGCATGTATGTTAGTATAAGATCCGAAAGGTCAGTGCCCAGCATTGCCTTGGTGACCTGGTAAGTTTGATGATTGTCCTATCACGCGCCACCAGCATGTTTCTTCCTCAATCCGTGGATTTGCGTGTCTTGTGAGTGAGTGTATGTGCTGAACCCTGAATCAAAGAGAATGTTCTGGTGATTAGTTCGGTTGGGACCACATGTTCAAGGTAACTAGCGCGAAGAAGTCCATGTTGCATATAAGTTCCAATCCGACACATCTGTGCATCTTCAGGCGTGCAGCACATGGGTTTCGATCGTTCGTTTTGAATTAGCATACCAACGAGCAGGGGCATTGGGCACTCCTTGGCAAACCCAATGCAATGAAGCTATGCCTTGGAGTGGGATGCACGGTCTGATCAACCGTGTGTACCTGCAGTAATCTCAGTATGGCAACTGGGCAAAGCCAAAAACCCAGCATGAGGAAACATGAATTTTCATTTCATCTCACTTCATCGTCTCCCTTCGGGGTGTTTCTAAGTGTGTAGTGCTTTTCACGCACCTGGATTTCTGATACAGTGCCAGGGAAGCTTGGCGGTGCGCCCGCTGGGGATACCAGATTTTGTTCAGAGTTACACCGCGCCGGTTGATCCAACGGAATTCGGTTCAAAGGTGTTCGCACCTTATCATGCTACAGAAGTAGATCTCGCACCATGCGTCAAACCACTGCACAGATTCACTCTTCAGAACCAGATTTGATACCAGATCTTCGAAGCCAGATTTTTCCATCAGATTCCTCCTCAGAGTTTTCATTTCAGAATTCCTCGTGTCATTCCCCCTAACAAGCTTCAACCACAGTATTGTTTCATTTGATTCCGCAGTTGAGTTTCACCAGTGGGCAAGTAGCCGCGTTTGCGCTTACCTCATGGAGCATATGCCGTCGTCAGCAGACTGGATGTATCGACACATGTTTGGGACACCACCGTGGACACCAAACACACAGACACCACCAACAAATTCATACCCAACTCCTCAGCAAGCATTATCAACAACATCTCAGCTGACCATGCCAACAACATCCACAGCAGCGCCATTTGCCATAAACTCAACATTTCCAGTTTCAGTTCCAGCAGCACAGCAGCAGCTCTATACACCAACACCTACTAGCCCGGCACATATGCACATGATTCCAGCCACAGCATCCCCAGCACCTTTTCCAGCTTACCAACCACCATTGCCAGCAGCAGCTCCTGCTACATTGTTTGGAACAACAAGCCAAAACTATCCAGACTTCCTGACTGGCTCCCTTTTTGACTATGGACAGCACACATCGCCAGCACATCAACACACAGCAAACCCCAGCCACACAGACAATATCTTACCATCACTAGCCACACAGCCACCTGTTCATTCTACATGCGCTCAACCTCAACGAGTGGAACAACATTCACCACATCACGCCAGCCGGCGACGCAAGCGCTCAAATACTCCACGATCTAGGCGTGGGAGCCGAAGAAGAAGTCGAAGCACACGGCGTCAACATCGCCGACAATATCACCGCAAGTCACGCAGCAGAGCAAGGGCAAAACGGTCAGAACGAAATCCCAGCACATCGTCCAGACCCAGATCCAGACACGCTAAGCATCACCATCATCAGCGTTCATCCACTCGACGACAGCAACACCAAGCACCCACGCAGTCTGGGAACATAGCAAGCCCAACACCGCAGACACCAGCACACACAATAATGCCACCACCACTGCTACTGCCACCACCACTTCTACCGCCACCACCACTACCACCACCACTATTACCACCACCACTACCACCTCCGCCACCGCCACCAGCGCCACAACCGACAACGGTGCCACCACAGACATTATCAGCCCAAGTCCTACGAGTGGCAACACGAACAGCCACTTCCAACGCCATACCGGCCAGTACGGCGCCACAACCCAGGCACGGATCCACTACTACAGCAACGGCAACATCATCTAACTTAGCAATGACACCAACAACAACACAAGACCACTCCGACGACCCACTTGAAGCAGCTGTTCAACGCAATATCGACAGCAACACATCCGTACTTACACCATGGCAGCCGCCAATCAGAAACCATTACCACCCGTTCAATTACAAAGCACTTCAGCAGCGCTTGCACTCAGCAGCAGCACGTGCTCAGGAACTCACCCCCCCATCAGTGTACTTTCGTTTTTTGCAAGACAGAGATAGCAGTGTTCGTGAAATTGCTACCTTGCTTGAAACATCTTTCCCACCAGGGATTGACCTACCACAAGAACACATCATTCATACACTGTCAAAATATATTGTTACAACTGGAATGCCTATCCAAACTACGCTTGCCCGCATCACGTTCCACCAGCATGACAAATACCGAGTGTGGCAATTACACCTACGCAACATGCCACGCAGCACCTCTACAGCAATGTCGCAAGCAAGCAACTGCCAATACCATTGGGCGCACGCCACCAGTGAAACAGGCTTCTTAGGAACTTTACTGTACGGGATGGTACTACCAACATGTTCTGAAACAATGTCAGGCAGGCAATCTCAAGGCTTCTTCTGTGCAGCAACAATGGATGAGAGCACCATCGTTCAAAAAGTAGTAGACCGCTATCTCAGCGGAAAGGCACATGTTCCTTTTGTACTTGGCGGTACCTTGTGGGCAACACACAAAGCCGTCCCAAGCGGGGGCACATACACAGAGCAGGAAGAGGTCGAGACGCATGGCATCGTACATCGGGCAAGGGACAAAAGGTGGTGTATCCACGCTACGATAGCATCCATTCAGTCCATTTGGATTCTTGAACAACAAGCACACACAACAGAGCCACCGCAAAGTGATCTGATGCGTGAAGATGCTCCGCGGCTGACTTTACAAACCGATGTGGAAATGAGAGGTTATTAAACCTCAGCTCTTACCCCGTAGTTTCACCAAGTGAACAAGCGACAATATGTTCGTGTTTTAAACGGCAAACCAGGTTTGCAAATTCTTGTCACAACACATTTTCACCAGCTTGTTCAATACAGAGTCCATACCACACGTGAGGTGAAAAAAGGTGAAATTCGCACCATTTACGACAATAGGTTGACCTGGCTTTTGTTGTGGATTTTATGCGCGTGGTTGAGTCCTTCAACAAACATCATGTAGGATTGACACCATACTACCATCAAAGGTTTCATGATTAGTTCAGCATAGACAGAACCTATTGCTTTCATTAGTTGGTTTCAGCAGAAGTTTATAGCAGCTTGATAACGTGCAAGTGTGAGCAGAGCAACTTTGCTCACACACACCGAGCGAGTCGTCCGTGCGTTGTACAGATTATGATGTCCTTTAACCTTCAAGCAGCAGTTGCTATTGGAATGTCTTGAAAATTGAACTGTTTCTTCAGACTGAGCTAATTCGTGCTCAAGTACCGCTCCGATCGTTCTTTCATTGTACAGTCATGTCGTGGCGAAGCACCAGCAGACCGTGGAACTGGCACCAGCACCAGCATTCAGCACCGCACACCACCACGAGCAACATACCAGCATCCTGACTCACAGTACCGACATGAACCACCAAGCCCACAAGGAACCAAACAGTTCAACCGAGACATACCAGCCAATTTCCAACCTGATGCCAACCACTTTGACACCAAGCAACAGTATGGCCTTTCCTTTCCTCGCCAAGTCACCTCAACAGCCTGGAGTCAGAAGTATCATCTAGCAGGAAGACCCATTGACTCCGTACGACTGTATGAATTGGCTTACCTTGGTTGGTCCAACTGGAGCCTTCGAGCCTTAGCCAATGGCAAATTCACATCACTTGTGTTTGCCCGCAGCATCAAAGAGTCCATTTTCTTCCACCATTTGTCCATGAAACTTCGAGATGAGCATATGGATTTAGATGACATTGCAGCAGCATATTGCCAGCAGCAAGGTATTGCGATCACCGATCCAGATCCCAATCAACTCAAAAAAGCCAAAATTCACCACCTTGTGAATTCCACAGTGGATCATTTCCGGCAATTCTCCAATACAAGCTTACAAGAAGCCCAAGACAAAATTCGACAGCTGGAAGCACAGCTAGCAGCAACCCAGACCATTTCCCAGGTACCCACTGACGAAGAGCAAGCCGCATCCCCACAACCTCACCCGCCAACCACACCTGATGAAGCACCACCGTCACCAACACCCGCACGCAAACGAAAGCCCGACACATCCAACACACAAACGGCCAAAAGATCGCGCACTTTGACGGACATGGGGATCACCAAACGGCCGGGCAACCATGACACCAAAGACACACAAAGAACACGCAAACACACAACCTCACCCACTGCCGTACCGGCAGCGGGCGCACATGATGTACCAACCAGCACTACTATTGGAGACCTTCAAGCCAAAATCACGCAACTCCCTGGTACCAATACTGTCAGGCCATTTGCCTCAGCATCGCCCAACAACAGCACGGCCAAAACCGTTGATGCCTGGATCAAAAAGCAGAGCATTCCCAAACAACACCAAGCAGCATTGCAAGAAGCTCTTGCAACCCTCACCGGACTTCTCAAGAAGATCCCAAAGCCCGAGCAAAGCACCTTTGCAGACAAGGCCGCCTCACTCGGCCTGCCAGTATCAGTGGCATCGAAAGCCCGCGCGGATGAGCTCTACAAGTTGCTGCTTTTTGGGGTGACACAGCTTGAGTGACTAGATCGAGATGACCCGAAACATGTACAGTTTGCTGCCGCATGTATCGTCTTCTTCGGTTGTCTCGAACATTTTCCGCTTGATCAAAACTGTTGTTCTGTATCTGTTCGGTTGGTTCTCCGTGTTGCTGTTTCTTTCTGTGTTTTGTATTGGATTACAAATCATCCTAATCAAAATTCGTGTCGAAAATGGAACCGAAGATTCAGTCGGACACATTTGAAAGATGTCCGCACTTTTGAGGATATGCGCCAGTTGTTTCACCAATCCAATGTTGTATATATTTTGCTGCATGTTTACGGCACAGCAAAACTCAACATACACTTGTCGTCTACAGAACATTACATCGGCAGCACCATACACACATTACATGATCGACAGAACACCCGACACCGCAAGCTGAAACAATTACAAAACGGTCAACCAGTATCGTGTGAGCTTGCATTGCATTGGTTCTGTAGCCAAGGCAACTACTATCAGTTTGTACCACTCCCGTTATTAACAACCTCGTCACAACTGCAAACACGAACGCTGGAAAGTTACATGATCCAGCTTTGGTGCCCACCACTCAACTATCCACTCATAATGCAACGCAAGGTCACTAAACAACATTCAACACCACACTTGCGACAAGCAATCGCCAACACATTCCTAGGACATGGCCAGCGACTGTATGCGCGACTCCGCCGCCGCATGATGTACAAGCAAGTATTCCACTTTTACAACCACAACCTGTCCAAACACACCACTGCCTGGCTTCAACTACACGTACTCGCGGAACAAAGCCAACGGTCGTTTGACATGCAAAAGTTTATCCGTTCCAACAACACACACTCAGATCACCTATTTGCACTCTACAAACTTTCGAACAACATGGAAGATCCACCAAGAACAAGAGTTCGCAGTTTGATCAAATCAGCTATTCAATTTCGACAACTACCACTACCGCCAAGTCCTAGACCACTGATACTGCCTCTACTGAGCCACAAAACATTCAGTCACCAAACACGCCACTGGCTTCGGCAGATAGCCATTCAACACAAACAATGGCTACCACCTTTTCACATTCCAAAATGCAACATTACGGCAGGAAAGCATACCACCATGCAACAAGCCCTTTTCAGCCACTTTTCCTGGATGAAGAAATTCACCTGGAACGAACCTCCACCATGTTCTTGCCAACAACTTTTTGCAAAACACCCACGGCTTACCAGCACTACAATATGTGATCAACCACATATTGCCAGTCCTGCTGCAAACCTGAATGTCCCAGCACGACTCGCAAATTTCTTAGCCACGCATGCTGGCACACAAGTGTACCCTACAAAACACCACTACTGTCAACAAACTTGGCCCAAACTACAACGCTGGCTGCAACATTACAACATTAACGCAATCACGTATGCAGACTGGCAGAGTTACATTGAACAACAGTGGCCACAGCACTTGCAGCAATCCAAACAATGGATTGGGCACAGCGACATTCAATACCTCAGAAAGATTATGCAACAGTTTGTGGTTCACTGTCGCGACCATGCTGCTACAGCCATTTTTGTGTATTGTCCTTTTCTCTACCGGACAGTCCTCAAGAAAACATTTGGAGATTCATCGGTGTACACCCACCTCACTTTGACACCACCACAAGCAACACAATACCTACAACAGCTTACACATCAACCCTGGCTTCAAAAATACAAATGGGCATACAACACCAACAGCGACTGCCCAACAGCCTACATACTATTGAAGCAGAAAAAACAATTCCTTGCCGCCAGGCCCATCATCAACTATCGTGGTTTTGTTTTTGAGAAGCTTCTCAAAGCCACAGCCATCGTTCTACAGCAGATGCTTCAAGCCTGCATGTCCAAGACGTTTGGACTACAATCACTCCAGCAAATTTTCTATACACTCCACACTTTCTTTCACAATGCACCAGCAGACCTGGACCTTGCCATTTACAACCACGATTTGGCAGGGTTTTTTACATCCATACCAGCAGACCGCATCCTTCACGCACTTGCCAAGCTGTTGAAGCAATATCAACAACAACACCCGCATGTAAATAACGACACTGTTTTCACAGTGGACATGCAACAGCCAGACACCACACTACGACTTTTTCGAGGACGGCCTCGGCGAGCTGCAATGACAAAACGACAGATCAGGTTTGGAGACATTTACAACATATGCAGTTTGTCTCTCCAGGCATCAATTTTTTCACAGCTCCAGCAAACATTTCAGCAAATTCGCGGCAGCGCAATTGGCAACCAAATCAGCCCAGTCCTGGCAAACATCACGGTCAGTCTGACCGAGCAAGATTGGCTAAACCGACCACAGGTACAACAATATCTTCACACACACTCAAACAGAATACTGATCACACGATACGTTGACAACAGGCTTGTACTCATTGACCAATCCCAACAGCACCACGCAATCATCCAACCATTCTTACAAGACACCTTTTACCAAGAACCGGTCATCCTTGAGGATGAACCAGACAATTCCTTTTTGGGCTGCGCTATTGACTTACAAAAACATACATTGTCTTACATTCAACCAAACAATGCTTGGCAGTTTCAATCTTTTGGCTCTGCAGCTTCCACACAACACAAGCTCTCTGCCGCATACAGCCGCATCTGCCTAGCAGCAAGACACAGCCACCCATACAAGCAAGCACAGCATGATGTTGAGTTTTTAATTCAATCGTATGTTTCACTTGGTTATCCGTACAAGCCATTACGCGCTATGGCAGCCAGAATGTTGAGCATCCGGCGGTAAGTTTTCCACATGAATATTTCTATGATTGATGGTCTTTAATGCTTCGCTGTTCCAACACAAACAACCTATTGTTTTGTATTACAATTAAGCAAACAAGGTGCTCACCTGAATTGGCATGAGGGGTGACATTTCAATTTACTTAGTCTGAGCAACAGGCGTGCCTAAGAGGGGTGGAAAAGCATGTGCCCATACTGGGCTTGTTGTGTGTGCCGACCCCTGAATCAAAGGGAATGTTATGTTGATTAGTTCAGTTCAGACTACATGTTCTAGATAGCTGGCACGAAGAAACCCACTGCACCGTGAGGCATCTTGCGAAATCGCGGAGAGTGGTTCGACCGTAGATTTACGAACTTGCAAGTGTATCGAAAAACATCATAACAGCCGAGCATGTTCAACCCAGTTCGCAGCAGTCTTTGCATGTATGTTAGTATAAGATCCGAAAGGTCAGTGCCCAGCATTGCCTTGGTGACCTGGTAAGTTTGATGATTGTCCTATCACGCGCCACCAGCATGTTTCTTCCTCAATCCGTGGATTTGCGTGTCTTGTGAGTGAGTGTATGTGCTGAACCCTGAATCAAAGAGAATGTTCTGGTAATTAGTTCGGTTGGGACAACATGTTCAAGGTAACTAGCGCGAAGAAGTCCATGTTGCATATAAGTTCCAATCCGACACATCTGTGCATCTTCAGGCGTGCAGCACATGGGTTTCGATCGTTTGTTTTGAATTAGTATACCAACGAGCAGGGGCATTGGGCACTCCTTGGCAAACCCAATGCAATGAAGCTATGCCTTGGAGTGGGATGCACGGTCTGATCAACCGTGTGTACCTGCAGTAATCTCAGTATGGCAACTGGGCAAAGCCAAAAACCCAGCATGAGGAAACATGAATTTTCATTTCATCTCACTTCATCGTCTCCCTTCGGGGTGTTTCTAAGTGTGTGTGCGCGCACAAAATTCTTGTAAAAATCGATAAAATTGGATTGGAAAATATATAAAGAATTATATAAATAAAAATAGTAACAACAAATAAGAAAAGAAACAAAAAATAAACCATGAAAAAAATCGAAACTACTGGATTTCAGCAGGGATGCATTATTGTTTAGGGCGGACATATCCAAACAGAACCTCTAGGGGCGGATGACTTTGTGGTTCCAAAGAATCTTTGGACATACACGTTTTGACCTTGATCATCGAGCCATACATGACCGAAAATGAAAATGGACCCAAATATTCCTTGGATTTGGATGGACTTGCGAGTTCAGAAGCCCTTGGTCACCAATCTTCAGTGGGATAAAGCGTCCTCTCCCAAGTTCGAAAGTTAGAAGTGGGCACTAAAGGAGATTGCATGGGTCAAAATTGACATGAAATGATCAAAAAATCCTGGTGCAAATCCACTATGAACAATCCAGAATAAACTGCATAAACCATCATAAACCTAATTGCCATAAACCTTCCAATGGGATGGTTTGAAATCCCACCCATGCCTGACAAATGTGAAAAAATTGGGCCTAGCACAAGGCAGCACCACGTCGGCCACACGCCGGGGGAGTCGTTGGCACCACATGGCGACCCAGTGATGGCAGAGGTGGTGAAATGTCTCTGGCGGAGTTGTGAGAATAAGGTGTTTACGGGGTCTTTTTTAGCCTTGCGAAGCTTCATTTGTGGTGATCTTGTGGCCAGGTCCTTCAAATTCAACCAGCGATGTGATAACTGGAGGTGTGGCTGATGTGAGCATGGGTCATGGGGTCCCCAGAAACTCACTGACTTTCTTTAGAGTATTCAAGTTGGGGGGCAAGACTTTGGGGAAGACCAAAAAAAACAAACAACCTGTTTACTGCTGAAAATAGGTCGAATGGTGCTTGGATGATGTTGGCTCTGGCTTGTATTGCCTCATTATGGTGAAACCCAAGCGCAGGGTGATCTCTGAAATTGGCACGGAGCCAAAAAAGGGCGAAGGCATGCGAAGGCTACCTTTCGATGCCCCACGCAGACCCACAACAGCAAGATCGACAAGGACGGCTGCACGGCAGGACGATTCTAACCAAATGCGTTTGGCTCAAAACCAAGGTAAAAATTGCATATCTGGATCTTCAACCATTCAGTTTTTGGGTGGGTTCCGTTTAGTAATCACGGCGCCGCACACTTTTGTGAGCAACTCAACCGTGCTGAAAATCTGAGGTCTTTCCACGAGCCTCGGTCAAGATGGTGAGTTAAGGCGTCCCATCGGTGTTCACTTCAGGCAACAGAGCCTCTATAATCTCTATAAAATTCCATGTGATCCAACTATGATCATAAATCAATCATGGATCCGATAGAAGTCCCAAATCTATCATGGTCTTCGGCCCAAAAAAAGAAGACAATTTCAGGACAAGCAAGCTGAGATTGGTGCCCCCAAGGCACCCAGTAGAAGGGCATCCTGGACAAAAAAGAGATGTGGGCATAGTAACCTCAAGTGACTGCCATGCCGCTGCCTAGGGTTTCCTTTCTGAATCAGGCACCCGTGGTTGTTAAACTAACATAGATCCTGAAAACGACTGGAGGACCACCTGAAGGTTGAACATCTCGAAATCAATAGGTTTAGTACAAGTGTTCACAACGTTTCTGACAGATTGTGGCCCCAAACGAGATTCATAGCACCACCAACTTTACAGCACCACCAACTTGTCAGCACACGCCGCTCCTCGGCGCTCAACCGCCAACCTCAGGCTATGCAGTATGCATCAAAATCTGTGGACAAACTGGCTGCATTTTGTAAATAGTTTCATATCACTATCTACCAAATGGTTTCTTGAAATTTGAGAGCCTCACACTAAGTTAGCTATCAAAATTACACATTCATGAATATGTGTGTACACGCCACATAAAAGTAGGTTCTTTTCCATAAATTTGAACGTTTCTTTACACATCGTCTTCCAAGGGCTCCGAATGTGTGGGCCACGGAAAAATGGCATCGGTAGCCGGCTTCTTGGCTGCGATCGCCATCACTGATGTTCGGTCCGCGAAAGTCCATTCTGTGGAAAATCGCTCATCTTTTTTGGAGAAAATCGCCCAAAACCATGGATTGATCTCTTGCCAAAACCATGGTTGAGCCACAGCCAAAAAGGGCGCCCGAACCCATGGCACCAGCATTCTCGGAGGTTTGAGTTCCGTCTCGAGCCTGAGAAACAAAAATTGCCAAAATGGCCACGGAAAGGACAGGTAAATGATCTACAAATGGGTTATATATATATATATTTCATATATATTTCATATATGTGTTAAATTACCATAGGGTAATGCGGACATGTGTTTTTTGTTTCTAGGAACTATACGTATGATTCATGCTAGGATGTGATTCTACGAATGGAATGGGTGTATTCTACTCATATCTGCGTTCTGAAAAACAGGGGAAATAGACAAGAATACTCATGTTCAATGGGAAAATCATCTAGAATCTAGAAATGTCCCCTCCAAGATTGGATAACCCCACTGGGAAGATGTACGAACCGTTGTTACCACCCAACAAAGTATCCCCAACTATCAACATGTTGCATTATGCCCAAAAAGGGTATACCAAGTAACAATGCTTGCATTTACCTCATTACAAAGTGGGACGATCCTCCAAGCAGGTTTGGAGGTATGGTTGATTGCTTAAACCCGTCCTGCCAATTCCCGAGACCTCTCAGACACCCAAGTTTAAGCCCAGATTTCAGGAGGCAAAAAACCTAGAAATTCAACAGAAATCAGCCATCATTCATGAAGTCTGCACCTTGCATCCCCATCTTTTCTGTCAAATTTGGCAACGCCATCCCTAAGTCAGAGACGCCACAGAGTGCGATGGCCCCCTGCAGGCGGATGTTGGATGTTGGGCCTGGTGGGAACCATTGAGGTTCACCAAGCCATGGTTCCAGAAATTGGGCATGTTTTGTCCAATACCATCATTTCATGATGCATTTTGAGCCATATCCGTATCAGATACAGTATCAGCAGTGCCAAAGAGTTCCGATGTTGGATGATTTTGGTGGACCATTTTGGACTCCTGGACCTATCCCTGTGGCCAGTAGGGTGCAGGAAAATGATTCAGGGACCACAATAGTGACCACATGCTTCGAAGGACAAGTTCACCCTCCAAATGGCAGGCTCAAAACGCTGTTACCCTTCTGTTCACACCAGAATAGCTGGTCAATGGATGTTCATCCTGTTCAGCCCTCCCAAATATGGGAAATTTACATGTATTCTCCAGGAATCCAACATGGCTGGCTGGAACATCTCCCCAAAAAATTGAGGTCTCAATGGGAAAATCATGGAAAATCATCCATGAATCAGGTTCCAACCAGCCACCTTTGATGACACCGGATCCCCCGCCTGGCACAAGACCCAGTTGATGGCCACCTCCGAGGCTGTGAATCAAAATAGCTGGTAAACGGATGGTTATATGTATGATTGGATATTGTATGATCTATCTATAGCTGGTAAATGGGGATCATACTAAATAGCTGGTAAGACATAGTATGATCATGTATGATCTCCATCTCTATGTTAGAAATCTATAAATGTCATTGAGTCATTAAATATCTATCAAGGAAGGCACAATCCAACACACCATCCATGATTCTCAGGGAATCCATAGGCTGTTTCTGCCACTTCTCTCATTGGCTTCCTTTCCTGGCACCCCGTGCAGCCGCCTGTGCACATGTCTTGCCATATTTCTGGCCCATCTGCCACAGGCCGTAGGGTCCAGATACCCCGACTTGAAATGGGGGATCTCCCAAAAAAAAAATCATTCAGTGGAAAACAAGATGATAAACCATGGGAGTTGTGAAAAACTGCCGCTTGAAATATACTTGTAACGACCAGTGGGAAGAAGGGGGCCCTTAAACCGAAACTGAAAGTGGTTTCTGCGGCCAAAGAGGGACACTGTTAGGTGGATGTTTTGAGCGAAACACTGGGTTCAAATGCCTCACTTTCTTCTGGGGAACCAAGTGAACCTGCATCCCAAAGCCCTTGAAAAAGTTGAACCCCAAGACCTCAAACTCCAGGTGACCCATTCCTGGAAATCGGGGAGCTTCTGAAAGATCTCAGTTTCCCAAGGTTGCAAGGAACCCCCAACCTGCTGAAGCTTTGTCAGCAGTTGGTGCCAGGCATCCACATCTTCGTCCAAGCTAGCTCCTGTCGCGTTCAAGGGGCGGCAACAATTCACCAAGAGGAAAAGGTGAAGGATACACCACAAATGGCGAACCTGAAAATTATGCGAAAAGCTCTCAAATTTGATGGTTTTGAAAAAGCATGTTCCCTACCAAGATTGCCATTTAGAGGGGTATGCCGTATGCCCCCTTAATGGACAACCCAAAGATCTACAAAGTTTCTTCACTGCTCAGGCATGGCGCACCGAAGGGCCGTTGCGCCATTCCGCCGCGGCGCCGTTCCGCCCATGTGGGTGCTGGACCCCAGGGGTCCTGGGGTGATCCGAAACATCAGCCAGAGCTGAAATCCAAATCCATGGTCCCAAAGATTTCCAGATTTGGGGGTTTCCCAAAATGGTGGTACCATAGCTGGATGGTCTTTTTATGTCTTTTTGATGGCTCATGGAAAATCCTGATGGAAAATCAATGACTTGGTGCTACCCCCATTGATGTACACCCTGATTTGATGTTCTAGGATCAGGAATCCTGTGGATTTCAAAGGTCAAGGCCATCAAGATCCAACTAGCTTCCCACCACAAGGTGGGCGTGTCGACCCACGCCCACGAAAGTATCAACTCTTGGCGATCTTTGGTGAATGGGGCAAACCCAATATCCAATCGTTGATCATTTGTCATCATTATCCCTATTGAAATCGCCCTGTTTTTGGAACACAAACCATTTTGGAAGTCTCACGTGGCTGAGGTGCGGACATATCGCCCTGAGAGACGGCCCATCGCCAAGGGTGAAAAGGCCAGGACCTGGAGCCACCGGAGTATCTGAGTGGTACAAAACTCTGATCGATGACGTCCCATCTTCAACAGTTTTTTTGCACATGTGATGGGTGCCCTGGCGGTGATCCCCAGTTCACGACAGCCATTCACCTCGGTTCCGTGGTCCCGCAGCAATGGGCTTTCATTGGCTTTCATGAGTCATCACGTTTCTGTGAACACCAGGAAATTTGGTGAAGGAACCTTCCATCTGGAGATATGGACCAGAAAGAATCTCTGCAAAGAGTGCTGTTTTTTGTATACTGTATCTGCGCCAAGGGATCAAGCCTCCCCTACCTCCCCTTTTTCGACACATACTGGTCAGTCCATCGGTGTGTCCCACAGTGCAACCGTTACGCACTCTACCCGAGTTGGTTGGTGGTTCAACCCATCTCAAACAACCCAAGTCTATTGGGAATGATCATTCCGAATCATGGCGGAAATGATATCTTCCGGCGGCAGCACATACCTTTACAGTGTACAGGAAATCAAAGTTAAAGTCCTGTGGCAAGGATCCCCTTTTTGCTGAATATTCTTAATGATTCAATTGTTGATCAAATTGCCCGTTTGTGTTTCTATTCTCAACTAGTTGTTTTGTTTAATCCCCAGCGAACCCGACTGAGTGTTGACCCAAGAGGGATAATTGATAATGGTCATGTCCCCTGGAGTGGTAATAATACCTCTCCAACCATAAATTGACACCAACTCATAAGTGACAGTTCCAAACAATGACAATTATCATTGCTCATTGCATCCCCAATTATGACCTGTCTGAAATTGGATTTACGAAACATATGAATCATATTATAATCATATTATGAAATATGTTGCAAACTATTCTCAAGGCAACTATCTGAGTGAATTGTAACAGTTCTGCAACTTGAAGTGTTCAGCCATGTTTTGATTCGCGACGTGAAGTCGCCATAACTTACCCAGGACTATGATACTATGCTTCGTAGGTAACTATGGTTGGAAAATATGGATAGCAACTAAGAGAGAAATTTGTCAAATCCTGTAAGAATCCTGTAAATATCCTATGAATATCCTATAAATCCATATGAATCCATATAAATCCATATAAATCCTATAAAAATCCTTGAAGGAAATATGTTGTCCAAACCACCAAACGGTTCTGCCTCAGGCACTCACTAGGCCCGAAGCCACCGGCAGTTGCCGCGCCAACGAGAGCTCGACCTAGTCGGGTGGGTACCCCCATGCCTTCGGAAACCTTCATTGTGTATAGTGTGGTAAACCCAACAATAAACCCCCGCAATCACCATAATGAAATCATCCATGGTAGGTTTATCATTGGGTTGCCTACATTATGATCATCTTAATAATTATTACATAGTTACAATAACCAACTATTATCATTATTGGGTACTATTACATTACGTAGTTGTCAGCACTGTCTGTGTCTTGAGAATCTGACGGATAATCAGTAGTCTTGAAGTAAGCCCCGATTTCAACCAACAACATCTCCCAACAGCTGAGGGGTCCTACCTGGCAGGTGCTCAAGCGAAGACCTTGGCGTTGCAAATGTTCATGCACCACCCGGAGTTCTTGCAGCGAGAAGTTGCAGACCTCGGCAGACTTCACCACCCATGAAGGGTAGAAACACCAGAATTTGAGTTGCGCAAACCAATGTTTCGAATTGTCCTTTTCTGCATCGGTCAAAAGAATCAAGTGGAGTTCAAAGTGCTTCTCTTTGAACCTAAGACCTAGGTGGGAAACCACCAGCTTGGAGTCACCACCCATCGTTTGGGAGGCCCCACACCTATTGCTTTGGCAGCGCCGCTTCTGACCTTGGCCAAAGCTGAGGCTAAGCATGACCAAAGCTGGTAGCCTTTAAAATTCATCGTTTCGCAACTCGTAACCCTGGATTCTTAGCAACTACCTAGGCTGTTGAATTGGGAGTCCCATTCAAGTGGCAGATGACATCACTATTGGGCTGGTACCTCCTAATCAATCAACCGCAGCCAGGTGGACGTTGCTCATCCCCAGCTAGTACAAGTACCTGGTGGCTCATCCCACTTAGTAAGTGGGTTAAGCACCCCAATTATAAGTGGATTAACCCTACTTATCCCATTTATAACTGGGGTTATAACCCACTTACGATTCGTGGGATGAGCCACCAAGTACCTGGTGAGCATATTCATGCTGATGATGTTTTGCAACTAACATGGCAGGAACTCGTCCGGTCAAACCTCCAAGCCCCCGCACGGCAGCTGCGAGGGCATCTGCTTGTGCCTGCAATGTCAGATCTTGAAGCCCAAGGGGACCCTCGAAGAAAATCCATCGAGCCCCCAAAAAAGTTGGGCAGGTACCCCAATAGCTGGATGGTTAATTTCATGGAAAATCCATGGAAAAAATGAAGGATTTGGGGTACCCCCATGGATTGGAAGCCCCCAAATGGCCTCAAGACTGATGGGCGGTTCAGCCGGGCGATGCCTTACTTCCACGGGCCGCATGCTTTCACCAGGGCCAGACCTAGACCTAGACCCTGGCTTTTATCATCGATTATCATAGATTATCATAGTATGTCACCCCAAATTCGACGTTGCACATTGATTTTTTAGCTCTACGCTGTCGCATGTTGCTCGCTGTTGCGCTCGAGAGGCCGGCAGTTTGAATTGGGGAAAAAAGTATGTCACCCCAAATGTTGGTACGTTCACCAATGTCTACAGGTATTTTGAAGGCCCCAGGCACCTGTTCTTTGATATCGCTGCTGTGGAGGGCCCTGGGGTTCCAACAATTGCAGGAGATCCAGGGGCCTCAAAGGAGCGCTGGTTCTCGGGTGGGATGATCCTAGAAAATGGATAGGAATAGATAGACTTGAATCTAGCAAAACATACTGGCCCCAGAAGATTGAGTGTATTTCCCTTCCAATTTTCGGAAATTCAACTTCGTATCCAAAAACATGTCTTAGAGAGTCTTTCCTGTTCATTTTTGGGGAGGTGTTTTTGTCTACTGACACCTGGGATATCAGGCCCGTCCAAGGCCAATCTGCGGGCAGCCTGCACGGGCATTTGGAAAAGTTTACGTGGTACGTATTGGGATGCCTTGCTGAAACGTACAAATGCTGGGAATCTAGGAACAATATGGAACAATACATACATATGCATATGTGCATAGCAAATTTGTACACTCTAACAATTACAATTTAAAATTTTATATATATATATAGTGTGTATATATATATACTGTGTATATATATATATGTGAATATGAACCATATCATATGTACCACATATACCATATGCGACATAATATGTACTTGATGTATACATAGGTTGAGGCATGTGCATAACCCAAAGAATCCTCTCAAGAACTGGTGATCCTTTGTCTCGAACCTGTATAGTCCCAAATTTGTCAACGGTTCACTTGGAAAATTGCAAATGTCTTGATTCATCTGGATCACGTAAAATTGGTTTGTTCGTAGCCATCCTTAGAAGTTAAGCAAAGCGGTGCGATTTTTTCAAGTTCTCAAGTGGACCACGGTTCTTCGGCCAAGAGGGAACGAGTCAAGAATTACAGGTGCAGGGCCAGTGACCAACACAACAATACAAAAACGTCAAGAGCATCAAGATCCCCGAAAAAGCTCAGCGGAGCATGGGTGAAGTTTCGAGAGGCGAGAAAAAATGCGTGAGAATGAGACGTGTTGACGGCACTGATTTTGGGGAGTGCTCGAGTTTGAGATACAGGAAGGCAACTTTAGGTTCGACCGTTTTCGTCCATGTCGGAATGGTTTGAAGGAACATGTATAATCCGTAATGTATTTTACACAATTGTTTACTATGATGTTGTTTGCCACTTTGTAGCTGAAATTTAAGGGTATGTCTGGGGTGTGTTCGCAGTTTTTGGATTCAAGACATGCAAAATGCTGAATAAAACGTAAACACATGGTATGTAAGGCGTTTTTGAATGCAACTGTGTAAACATAATTTGCAATGTTTTGTCTGACCGTGCCAACATGTGCCAACCATGCAGCGGCGTGGGGAGCCCATAGCTGGAGTTGCAACTTGGTGAATATGGTAGCCTCACTCATCTTGGATTACATGCCCTTAATGTTTCTCTTTTTAAGAATCAGTCATGACCTGGAATTGCTGAAGATGATTGTTATTTTCCCAATGGGAAATCCACTGCTTGGGGAATCTATAAAAGAGTGTTCTTGGTGAAATCAGACATCTGATTGATTGGAGTAACCCCTTCCCCTTCATATCGAATTCTCTCCGTTGGGGCACCAACATCAATAGATCCACTCTAAACCAAGGTTTCGTTTGCAGGGATGGCATCATCTTTTTGGGGTTGTGACCTTACTGTCAATGGCAATTGAGCCATGAAAAACATCCCTATCCTATGCAAGCGTACTGGTTGGTAAACAGGTATCACTATTGTGAACTAGTTCATAATCCCGAATAAACCAGTTATTTAAAACCCACTAATGTTCACTGATAAATGGTCCAGTGCTCAAATTCCCCTTGCACCTCGCGTGCTGTCGCCAGCAGGGCGGCGGTCAAGTCTTGCCCGGGTCGCGGGAAGTGTTTCCTTGGTGACGGGGCTGTGGCAATCGGTTGCCCCGTTTCTGAGGATCCTGAGACCCATGGCGCGGGTATGGCTAGGTGCAGAACTTTGGCCAAGTTCCAAGGGGTGGTTGTGCCAAACATAAGAAGCAGACTGGTTGGCGAATGAATGTACTCAACAAGAAAGCACCAATCAACCCCTCCAGGGGTAGCGGCACAACCAACAACATCCTCAAGAATTGGATTTCGACGAACACTTCCATATTGGTTGTTTCTCGAAATCAGAACTCTGAAAAGTCTCCAAGGGAGTCTGTTCGATCTTTAAAAGAACACTTGCACTCTTGCTACCTGTAAATCTGGCCCATAATCCCAAACAACTCTTGCGAGTGGTTCCCACCAGTGCTGCGTACATGTACTTGTAACATGTTATAAATAGAAAGATCTATAAAGATATGCGGTGTATATAATATATATATATACACAGTGTATATATATACAGTATATAAATACATACAATTATATGTATACATGCATATAATATATATATATATATTTATATGTAATACATATATATATATATGCGTATAATATATGTATTTATATGTATAATATATATATATATATGTAATATATATATATGTGTAATATATATATATATGCAATATATATATGTAATATATATATATATGTATATGTAATATATATATATATATGTAATATATATATGTAATATATATATATATGTAATATATCTATATGTAATATATATATATATATATGTAATATATATATGTAATATATCTATATGTAAACATATATATATGTTATTATAGTATATTATATTATATTATATTTTATTATATTACATTATATTATATCATATTATATATTGTATATTATATTACATTACATTATGTTACATTATATTATAGTATATTTTATTATGTTATATTATATTATATTATATTATATTTCATTACATTATATTATATTATATTATATTAAATTATATTATATATTATATATGCATATATGCATATATATATATATATATATCTAGATATTGTTATATCATATATATATATATGTATATACATATACATATATATCTCTCTCTCTCTTGATTCAGCTTTCACATGAGCACTTGGCCAACCTTCACATGTTCAAGGGAAACATGTACGTTTCCGCAGGGATCCTTTGCATCTCAGGCGAGGCAAGAAAAGGCGCCCAAGTGGTGGAACTAGGAAGTTCATGCGGTTAGGACCCCGCATTCAGCTTTAATACTGGTAGCGGAGCCTCTCCGGAGGCTCCGCAGGCCAGCAGGCTTGCGTTGTGTCACATAAGCACAATGGCAAGTGCCATGGGTTTGTCCGATGGATCGGCGCGTGTGTTTTCTGGAGAAAACGAAGATGGCAAGGAGTACAAGAAATGGAAAGTGTGGGTAACCAACAAACTGCCTACCTTAGATAGCAAAGTGTCAGAAAAGGCCCGTGGGGCATATGTGTACACGTTGTTGTCTAGAAAGGCTTTGGAGCGTGTTGAACATCTAGAGCCAAGTGAATACCAAGTGAAAGATGGCGAGCAAAAACTGTTCGCTTTGCTGGATGAACGCTTCCCTCAGAAGGATGCCAGTGACGAGATGAGCGAGACTCTCACCCAAGTTTTCAACCTGAAGGCTCTGGAAGGTGAATCCTTGAAGGTTTGGATTTCCCGAGCAACGGTGTTGTTCGATCGCTGCAGCCGAAAATGCCAAGTCACCTTTCCCGAAGAGGCAAAGGGGTGGCTTATCCTGCATCGTTCAGGCCTCAATGAAGAGCAGAAGGCTGTTGTCTTAGCTCGTAGTGGTGGGGTCATGAAGCGAGAAACTGTTGGAAAAGCTATGCGATCATGTTACCCTGAGCTCACTGCACCCAAGAAGAAGATGTTTGGGGCCGGTTTGATACAACATGACCTACCACTGTCCGAAGAGCCCGAGGACGATCCTCTTTTCCAAGAGGTTGAATCTTTTCTGGCAGAACATGAAAACGTCATGACCGGTGAAGGTGATGATGAGGATGTCTATGAAGAGACAGAGGTCGCTGAAGCTCTTGCAGTTTCTTGGAAATACAAGAGCAAAGAGCTGTCCAAGATGCAGAGATCGAGAGATTTGGAGCTGCTCAAGACCTCAGACGGTCTTATCGTGTTGAGATTGAGGAACTCAAGCGCAAAACGCGCTGCCACCGCTGCAATCAGGTAGGTCACTGGTCGCGAGATTGTAAACAACCTCCAACAGGAAAGGGTCGAGGTTCAGGCTCTGCTGGCTCAAAC